AATGAAAGCTATTGATGGACCTATTGATGCTAAGGAGATACAGAGTGTAATTAAACCAAGCTCTGAAAGGCAAGTTGCCTGATGGATTCCCCAGGTGGATTATAGAAAGCGATGGAGGAGTTGTGATGTAGTTTAATAGTTTCCTAGAATCCTCGTAAACTCCAGAATCAATAGGAGAAGCCAATAGCTTATTGTCTTTGAAACCCAACTAAGATAAAATGGATTGTGCCCTTTCAGATCTCTGTGCCTGTTAACCAGTGATGCTACGATAATTGCCAGGGTACTTGCTAATAAGTTAGACTTGCTGCTACATGGTTAATTGAGAACAGACAGAATGAAGAAAGGAGGAGTATAGTGACTCCATTTGGCCCCATTAAAATGTATGCCTGGTATATTGCAGAGAAGGCTTTTGATTGGGTCGAGTGGAATTATTTAAGAGGAATATGCAGATAAATGGAATTGCTTTATATAATCCTTTTCACCAGAGTCATAGTTAACAGGAGTCCGCTATCAAGGGTGCCCTCTCTGACTGGAACGGTCACGGAATCTCATGCACAGAAAAAGCCAGGAAAATGGCATTATCTTGTCCATAAATGGAGAAGGTTTGGTGCACCAAGGTGGCGTTTTATGGAGATGTTTGAGCGATGACAGTGGGTCCCCTCCAAGCCTCCTGTGACAGCTTGTACTTTGGTACTCGATAAGAAGACCCATCCATTCCATAGTACTAACCTGTTCTCGCCCCTTCCACTAGCAGCTCTGGCAGAATTAGGGAAGAGAAGAACGAGACGAGAATTCCTTGATTGCAACTTTTGCTTCTTGGAATAAAACTACACCCAGAATAGACTAACTCGTGAATGGTTGGAGCCCCAAAGAGTGTGGGCTTCCTACAGATCTAGCTCCCCGGCTAAAAGAAACAGATCGAGCTGAGAAATGCAGAGGCTTTGTTTCACGCTGTTTAGCCGCCATACTGGAAATGGGCAGAATTAACAGAAAGGAGGGCCCGGTCTCTGATACCTTTTTATTTATTTTTTTTAAAGTGCTGGAGTGTCATTGGAAAGGTAGGAATGATTTTTCCCTGGAGCTGCTCAAAAATTCCTATCTAGCAAAATACTTAACTGCCCCCCAGAAATACCAGTCGCGGGCCACGCCAAGTCCCATAGGGATTTTGGGGCATGGAGGCTCAGAGCGTCCCCATGGCTTTGGGATTAGAGTTGCCGACTTTCCCAACAGGACGGACTGGACGCTGCTGTCGTGAATGGCAATAGTGTCTGGTGCGTCTGCTTGGGGAACATGGCAACCCTGTCATTGGGATGGGGCCAGACATGGAGCGGGAGGGGAGGGGTGCAGGAGAGGTCTGTGGGCTAGGGCCAAGAGATTTGGAGTGAGGGAGAGAACTCAGGGCAGGAGGTTGGGGTGAAGGAGTGGCGTCTGGGAGGGGGGGCAGGGGGATTGGGGTGTGGAGTACTGGAAGGAGTTAGGGTGTGGGAGCGGCCGGGGTAGGGTGTTGGGGCACAGGACAGGGGATGGGACACTTCCATGTTCGAAATCCAGCGTGTCCCTGTGACTCCTGGAGGGGCAGATGACTTGCCGTGGGCCAGATGAAATTAAGCAGGAGGCTGGACGCAGTCCCCAGGCCAAAGGTTCCCCACCCCATGTCCCATTGAAAGCAGCAGGACAGCTTCTGCGGCGGATCAGAGCCAAAATCTGTGAAATGTTTTATCGCCTTTTTCTTTTTCTAACGTTTCTTCACCCTCTGTCTAGGGCAGAGACCAGTGAGTTTCATTCCGCAGATCCGGAAGACAAAGTCCAAGGGCCTTTCTTCCCCCTGCTCGAAGGCCTTTTACTCGGCTAGTGGCTTAGTCTAAAAGAGAACAAAGGCCCAACTCTAAAACCACAGCGCTGATCTCGCATCCCTTGTTTCCCAGTCGGTGATCTGCCCCATCCCTACACATTGTAGACACCCTCCCGTTCACACATCGTCCCGTTCACGATGTATGTGTTTCTCACACTCATCCACCCACATTTTCCTTAGGCTGAGCTCTCACGAGACGGGAGGGGAAGTCTCCTTCTCGTTTTCACAAATGCCCATTTTTGCCCTTCCAGTCATTCCATTTTTGCCCTTCCCCACTATTTCTGCCCTCCGATGATCTCACACTCACCTTTCAGCCTTTGCTGACTGATGCTCTTCCAGCTCCGGCTGGTGGAACAGTTTTCTGGATGTTCTCACCCCACAGTGACAAAAACCGAGCTGGAGAAGCAGAGGAGATACGTTCCTCAGTCCTTGGCCAAAGAGAATGAAGACGATACCATAGTCACATTTTATGCCTTTTTGGATGGTTAAGAGGAGTTGCATAGACCAGCAGCCGTTTTTAGCAGTTTCTTATTGCCTTATCTTTCCTGTGATTACCCACGGTTGGCGTATTCAGATTTTCTATTTTGCACCGCTATTTTTCTTAATTCCTTATAATTTAATGACAGTTTATCCTGAGTTTCATGTGTCGGTTTATTTTATTTTTTCCTTTCTGTTGAAAAGCAAATGCCATTCACCCATCCCACCCCTGAAGGGAATGTGACATCCGTTTCCTTTCCCCTTGCAAGTTAATATCATACAGTGGCTAGTTCTTGTTTGGTGACACCGTCCTTATATGATGGATGAGGCTACCTGATTGATGGTGTTAACGGCACTAGCAGCTTTTGCTCTCTCCAGGTTTACAGGAGTTGCCGAGGAGGATGTGAAAGAGGAAGGCCTGGAAGCTCTGGGCTGTAACCTATCAGAGTGTGCATGCAAAACATGGGCAGGCCCACTTAGATTTTGGGCGGGGGATCATCCAGGGGAAAGGCCTCACAACACTGTGCGCTCTGAGACCCATTCTGCCCACGCCCTTCGATTCCGTTTCCCATGTGCTGCAGTCCCTGTGAACTCAGCGGGAGCGCTTATGTTGTTACTGTGTTCGGGTGTAAGTGTGGCGGGGTCAGAACCAAAGTCCCATGACCAGGGCATTAGAGGCACCTGTTGGCAGTGTTTCCTGCAAGCTGAGCATATGGGCGTCCCCCAGGAGGAAGTAAGCTCATGCCCAGCTGATTAGCAGAACACCCACAGCTGGCAGTATTTGTTTCTACGGGTGGTGCACATAGGTACATGCCTCCGTGCACCAAACAAAATTTATTCCACACAGAGATGGAAAAAGTTAGAGGGGACACTGTTTGCCAGGTGTTCCTCTTTCTGTTGGAAGAGGAAACTGATGTGCAAGCCAGTTAAGATCCTCTGGTACATTATGCCAAGATCAGGGTCTTAGCCTCATGTGTGAGTCTAAATCTGCCATGAATCATAACATAGTTCCTCAAATAACATGCAGACTTTCAGTCAGATACAGTGGGTCTAATATGCCACTGTATTATTTCAGGTTGAGGGCTGTCTAACTCCACGAATATTGAGGGAATTGGAGTGCAGGAATGAAGCAAACCCAATGTTGATTTTCAGGCTCAATTCAGCAAACATATAAGCACGGCTGAATTCGGGCCTGACCCCTGAATGGCACCTGCTCTTGTATCTCACTGAGCGTGCCAGCCGTTGTGTGGAATCTTGAAACCACGCTTTTGATTTCTCCTGCTAGAATACAATCCTCAATGAAATGATATAGGTTAATTTAAGAATTTGAGAGCAGGTTTGCGAGACAGTATGTCTAGAACTCTGCCAGTTTCACCCCTGTTAAATTCCCTTGGATTTTTCTGTATGTTCCAAACTATTGGGCAGCGTTGCTGTGCGCTGTCACACAGCTGCCATGCTCCTCCCCAGAGGTGGCTGCATTGCAGTGAGAAATGGATGAAACAGTCTGGGCTTCTGTGGGAGGAGATGCTGTCCAAATGCCAGCTGATGGATATAGCGAATGTGTTTGCAGTAAGAAAGAAAGGCGATTTTGTCAGGGGAGCCGTTGTGAAAGAACAGTGTGTGTTTGAGCAGCTAAGGAGGTTGCAGGGGATCGAGTTTTGCCCTGGCTTCAATTCTTGTATAAGGCCCTGCATCTTGGTGACATCCTTTTGGCTGCTGACTGCTGGACACAGCAGGGCAACCTTGAGGGCACAGCCTCCCGGAGGTTAAAGTCCAGCATCAGGCTGGACCCAATCTCTCATCCTGTTGGCTGGAGCGACTCCCCCAAACAAAAATGAGCAGCGGCAAGGAGGCTGGCAGAGAACTGGTGGGATTCCTTTAGCCCCCAGTAGAAGGTCTCTCTGGAATGCTTTAGCCAGCGGTTGGGTTGGCAAGGCTCCGTAGCAGCCATTGGAATGGTTAAACGAATGTAGCGCTGTTGGTTTTCTTTGGCTCCGCAAAGCCCAGGATTTAGGAAGTAGGATGGTCCGTTTTGCACGGGGAGCGCATCTGAGGGCCACCGGGCTCACGCCGTCCAGCAGGGTACAAGGCAAGCAAAGCTGATTGAAGACGTGAGGGAGAGAATTCGGAAAGCTAGCAATTATCGCCTGCCAAGGGCAACACTGGAGATGACAGGCAGCCTTGGATGCTGCTGCTGCTGATTTTTTTTGCCTGTGGTTAAAATGCAGTCGTTTCATTACAAAACTTCCCTAATAAATTATGGAGTGTCTTTTTTATATCCAAGAGCGAGGCATTTTTAGAATGCTGGCTTGAGCGCGCTGTGCTCCCAGCTGGAACACCCAATCTCTTGGACCTAAAAATAAATCGGAGATTTTGTTCTTTTAAGATTGGGAAGAAAAAAACAAAACCCTTCCTCCGTTCGCTCCCTAACAGACACCAGGCTGCAAAAACTGTCCTTGTCCGAGCGAGCGTGTTGTGATCATGAGGGTTAGCCAGCAGCCTGGAAGCTAAGGGGTTAACCTTACCTAAGTTAGGTAGATTCAGCAAATAGGAATGTAGGTAAGAATTTCAAACTAGGACAAAGGAATGTTTGGTTTCTCCCTCCTTTGTGTCCTGGGCAGTTTCTCTCCATCTACTGAGGGAGACAGACACTGTCTCCAAGAATAGACTGTTCACTATCTGTAAGTAGGGTAAAGTTTAGATAAATCCATTAGGTTTTATTGTTTTATGGTTTGAGAAATGGGATCTGATGTCTGTGCATTTGAAAATCCTTTTTGCTTTCCTTTGTAACTAAGTTCTAGGCCCATGGTGGAGTTTCCCCATGAGTATTACTTGTGACTTTTCCATCTAGTCATTATGCTTGCAACAGGAGTATTGTGGTGACAATAAGTTCTTTCTCTCTTTTTTAAAAAAAATATTAACCTGGTATTGGTTAATTTCTGTGTCCTGGTTTGTGCTTTAGGGGTGAGATTTCCCAAGTAGTCTCTCCCTGGTTTCTTTATCACTACTTGGATGGTGGCAGCAGTTTTATCCCCAAAAATCTAAGTCATTAAGATTTTGGGGGAAGTTTTTTACCAAAGCCTGGAAAGATAAGGTTTTGGGGTACTGTTGCGGGCCCCCACTTCTGCATTTATCGTGCCAGAGTGGGGAAGGAGCCTCGACAGACCGTTAGGAGCCAATGCACTTACATGGGAGGCACTGTGAACAGAGCATTAGGGCGTAATTCTGGGTTCTGTTCCCAGCGCTACCATTGGCCTGCTGGCTGAGCTTGGGCAAGTTGCTTCCCATCCCCAGTGCAGGTGTAATAGTGTAGTCGATTAACTGATTAACCTATAAGCTTTTGCTTATCGGATAATGCTATAGACTACACGCATTTCCCTCCCCCCACCGGACAGGGACCAGCTCCCGCCTAGCACCCCATGCGGAGTGGCCAGAGAATCCTCGGGAAGGGGGCCGGAGTGCAGTGCATTGCCTGCCAGCCCCGCCCCCGGGGACTATAGAAGAGTCGACTAACCAATAAGAATTCATGACATTACTCGACTATTCAGTTAACTGATATTTAATGTCCCTAATTCTCAGGCCTTCGTTTCACCATATGTATGTTGGGGATAATGCAGTGGGCCTCCTTTGTGATGTGCTTTGAGATCTCCCGAGGAGAAGGCATTATTAAGTTTTAGGTTTTGTTCCCAGCATTGCCAAGTCTCCCATAGGCTCTGTTGAAGGGGAAAGAAGCTGGCGATGCCCATCCCTTCTGAGGGGAAGACTCCTTAGCTCCAGTCACACACTTACTGTTACTATTCAGTGGCAAAGAAGAGTCGATGTTAATGCAGAGTTAAGACTGTTGGGTGGTGTGCTGTCCCTTTTCACGATGCGGAGCGGAACTCAAACTTCTGAAAGCCAGGATGTGCAGAGTTAAGATTGTCCGTGTACCCTTAACTCTGCCCTCATTCACCAGTGCCCCATTATACCCTATTAACGCACGCCTTTATTTTGCTAAGTCTGCGGTTCACCTCCTTTTACAGCCTACTCCCTCACCCCTGCAAGATTCCATCTAACAATATTAAAGGGAAAATAAGCGTTGGACGTGGCAACTTTTCCTCTGTTCTCTTAGAGGTGACAATAGCCAATGATAAATATTTGGGAGTGCAGCAGGTAGTCAGTGAGTACGGAGTACTTGCAGTCAGTGGTGAAAGCAGCAGTTGGCACTTCATGGTAAAGGTGTGTTTGTATAAGCAGGGGTGTGATAGAGTTGTGGTATGCATGTGAGCAAAGGGAAAAGATGCATGGGAGCCGGCCGCCTCCTCCCACAGAGAGAAGATGATTATATCAGGGTTTAATGCCTTCTATCCTCCGTGCTGTGTCACGGTGCTGCAGCTGGCTGATCTCTGCTGCCTACTTTGCTCTCCGAGCGCAGTTATTCTGCTGGCATGAGGGGAGCAGCATGCAAGATCCAGGGAGCCTAAGACTAGGGCTCTGCTCCGGCCTGTGGTTGTGTTTTTTCCAGGAGCTAAGAACTGCACTTTAATAGTTTCCTTCAGGAGGTTGGGCTATAGAAACTGGCTGGCAGGTGTGTGATGGGCAGAGCGGTTTTTCCTTCCTCTCTTCCGCCCCATGACCCTTTGCAACAGTACAATGTATCCCCAAAGCGAAACCCACCTGGGATTGTGTCTGTCCTTGGCCGAGTCATAAGAATCACAGCACACTAGAACTGGAAGGGACCCTGCAAGGGCATCAAGTCCAGTCACCTGCCCTCACGGCAGGACCAAGCACCGTCTAGATCCTCCCTGGCAGGTCTAACCTGCTCTTAAATATCTCCGGAGATGGAGATTCCACACTCTCCCCAGGCAACTTATTCCAGTGTTAAAACTTCTTGCCTGTCAGGATGGTTATCCTCATGTGCAACCTAAACCTCCCTTGCTGCAATTTAAGCCCATTGCTTCTTGTCCTATGCTCAGAGGTCAAGGAGAACAATTTTTCTCCCTCCTCCTCATGACACCCTTTTAGGTACTTGAAAACGGCTTTCAAGTCCCCTCTCGATCTTCTCTCTTCCAAACTAAACAAGCCCAGTTCTTTCAGCCTTCCCTCATCGCTCATGTAGACCTTTCGTCATTTTTGTTGCTCTTCTCTGGACCCTCTCCAATTTCTCTGCATCTTTGTTGAAATGTGGTGCCCAGAACTGGACACACTACTCCAGTAGAGGCCAGTTCTGCACAGAGCAGAGCGGAAGAAGGACTTCTTGTGTCATTTTCTTTCTCCTATTAATGCAAACCAGACGCATGTTTGCTGTTTTGCATCAGTCTCACACCATTGACTCCTATTTAACTTGTGGTCCGCTATGACCCCTAGACCTCTTTCTGCAGTACTCCGTCCCAGACAAAACTTAAAAACCAAGAAATAGTCCTGCAATACCTTACAAACTAACCCAAAATGCAGATGGTATGATGAACTTTCATGAGCACAACCCACTAAGAAGTGGGTTGTGCCCACGAAAGCTCGCGATACCATCTGCATTTTTAGTTGGTCCGTAAGGTGCTGCAGAAGTATTAAGTGTTTTTTCCAGTTACAGACTAACACGGCTACCCCTCTGAACGCTTCCTAGATAGTCGCTTCCTATTCGGTATGTGTGAAATGGATTGTTCCTAAGCGGAGCACTTCGCATTTATCCTTATTAAACTTCGTCCTATTTACCTCAGGCCCTTTCTCCAGCTTGTGCACATCATTTTGAATTAAGTCGCCTCTAGCAAACGCAGCACACTGAAACGACATGGCTGAATTTCCCTTCCCTTCTCCCTCCTTCCACATGTGCCGTATACACAGTGCTTCTTTTTGTAAAAGAAAAAAAAAGTGCTGGTACTCCAGGGGAAAGGTTGATGAACCAAAAAAAAAAAAAAAAAAGTACTGTCACAAAAAAAGCACTGCGTATACGCCAAATATCCAGAGTCAGCGTCCGCCTGTTATCCCCTCCCACACGAGGCCTGATCCAAAGGACGGGGACGTCACTTGGAGTCTTTCTGTTGACTTCAATGGGTTGTGGGTCAGAGCCATAAAGAGAAGCCCAGTGTTTATCCCCCCTTCCCATCACAACGGCCCCTCTTCTACTGTCTCCCAGCCCCGGGGCTCCTGCGACACACACGCCAAATGGAATGTGTCTGTCTGGGTTTCGGCAGCCAGGCTGCTGCAAAGTCGTTGAACATCTGATATTGCAGTTTCTCCCTCTTCCATTTCCTGTATTGCTTTCTGTATCTGCTCCCAGCTATTTCCCCTCTGTCTTTTCCATTGTCCGTTTTAGCTCTTCTGACGGGGTTTATTCCCCCCTCCTCTCTGGAAAGGCCAGATGTTCAGCCAGGCCTCGTGCGGGCGTCGGGCCCGCGGCCTCAGTGCTTCCATTGCTCGGCGAATCGCCAGGGTGTGTTTGGCGCCGCGGGCGCCCCTGCATGCGCGTCAGATGGGGAATTTCGGAAGACCTCAGTGGCTGTGTGCGCGCCGCAGCTGGAATGCACCCTCTGGGGGGACGGAGCCACGCTGGCTGCGGGGGCGCGGGTGCGTCACGGCGTGAGAACCAGGGGTGTCGCCTGGGTGGCGGCACGGACTAGCCACCTGCACCCGAGTCTTCCCGAGAGCCTCTCGCTGCAGTGGAGTCCTGCCCTTTGTGGGCCCAGGTCTGCCCCCCTCCCCCCCCGGGGCAGCTCCTGCGATTTCAGTGGGAAGAGGGCTGAGCCCACCCCGAGAGCTCGGGGGAGCCCCTAACTCCGGGGTACGGACATGTGGCAGAATTTGTACCCATGCGCTCTCTTTGGCCGGTGGCAGATCTCAGGGTTGTTCCCATGCCAATGCACAGGGTTGCTATGAGTGCACAGAAAGGTTCCTGCCCCCACGACCTTATGGTCCTATGTTCCCCAGGAGCCATGCCAAACAATGCCCGGGTTGGAGTTTACAAGGCGTTAGGAGCCTCTGCTGGCCTGGAGTCTTGGCTAATGCCCCAAATGCGTTTATGGTTTAGGATCTGCCCATGCTGCAGTTAGACCCCCCACAGCAGGCCGGTGCCGCTGACAGGCTCGGGCGAAGGGGCTATGCAGTGGCCGTGTTGCTATTCTGGCCCTAGGTCCAACCCAAGCCTGGTTCAGTGGAGGGAATTGGATTCCTAGCTCTGCCACTGACTCTCCATGTGATCTTGGGCAACTCCCTTAATTGCTCCGTGCCTCAGTGTTCCCATCTTTAAAACAGGACTGTTGATTCTCCCTTGGTCAGGTCTGCTTGATGGTGAGCTCTTGGGGGAAGGAATTGTCCGTGGTCTTTTGATGCTGGGGGCTCTGCTGCCTAGGCTGCTGCCGGTGGGGCCTGAAGTTGCATGGTGCTGGGAGGTTTGCCTGGGGAACCCACGGCCCTGCCAGCCTGGGGCAGGAGGGTGTCGCTTTGCTGCGGCTGGAGAGCCCCGTGGCTTGCCCACAGGAGAGGCGCTGGGAGCGGGCGGAGAGCTGGGGAGAGGATTTGCCCCCGTGCGCCGCCTCGGCAGACAGGGAGAGCGCTCTGCGCGCCAGCTGTCCCGTCCCATTAGGCCGCTGGGGCTCGCCGCCGAAGGGAAATCGCTTGCAACATGCCGGCTGGCTGCTGGCGTCAGCCGCGCCCGGCGGTGCCTCCTCTGCGGAGAGGTCAGGTGGTTCCTACTGAGCCGGAGGCTTGA